TCTATCCCTTTCTCCCCACATCACCATCTGCATTGGAGAGTGAAAAAGGCAAAATGAGAGAGTGCTCTTAAAACATAGGCCCTGAATTAGGAAGTGGTCTTGCTACAGAGCTGAGAGAAACCTGTCCCTGGCATGAGGCCTTGCGTCGGCTTCTGGGTCACACTGCTTGTGTTCAAATCCCAGCCCCGCCACTTGTGCGACCTTGGGCAGTGACTTAGAGGGCAGGACATGAAAGGCATTTTGAACATTGCCTGGTACTTCACATATGTAATAAAGGAAAGTCTTAGCTGTTAATACCATGGCTCAGGAGCCCTGGCCCAGTGGCTCAGTTATTTGGAGCGTCTTCCCATACACCAAAAGGTTGTGGGTTCGACTCCTGGTCAGGACACATACCTAGGTTGCGAGTTTGACCCCTGATTGCAGTGTGTAGGGGCGTCTACAAATTGATGTTTCCCTCTCTGTTCCATCCTCTCTCTCTAAACGCAATAAGCCTATTCTCGGGTGAGGATAAAAACAATACCATGGTTCAGGAAAGCTGAGCCTGGGTTATTTTGAAGTAAGGTTTCCCTTAAGTCAAGGGGCATCTAGGAAGGGCTGAGCGGGCTTGTTTCTGGCAGTCCATAAGACAGCGATGCGGGAAACATCTCGTCATATGCTTAGGTCCTAATACCCACAGACCTTCCTGTATTACGAAGATTTTGGTGTACTGTCACAAGGAGCGGAACTTCCTGTGCTTCCTGCTCCATGCCAAGCTGTTTTCCTGAGTCATCGCTCAGTCCTTTTCCTCTCCTCCCTCGCCCACGTTAACTCCTTCAGAGCCAGGCTTATTTTAGGGCTGGGGGTGGAAAGCAGAGGGTTGCTGGTGGGCCAACTTAGTGGAATCACAAGGTCCTGCTACCTCACAGAAAGGTCTTTCAGATCAAGGGCAAATCACTGCCCTGCTAACTCAGTCAACAGAAGCTATTGGTCATCATTCCAAGTTTATAGATTGAATGTGTTTAGCAAAATCTCCTCAATCAGAATGAAATCTTTAAAGATGGGGAAGAATACTTGACTCAGCTTTCTAGAAAAGGCCCTTAAGGTGGCTTCGTTACCATGACTACAGCAAGGGCCCACCAGAGGCCTGGCCCCCACTGAGTGGGCAGGTTTTTATGTCAGGATGCTGACAGACCTCTCATACCCCTGAAGGCTGCCATTGCCCAGTTTGTCTTCCTAAGAGCCTTCATTGAAAACTTGGCTGTTGATAGATAGATGTATGTGCCTGTTGTTTGGAACCTATTACATTTCTACCCTTTGGATGCAGCCACCGAAGTCCCATTAACTCTGGAGGGAGTTGGTGTGTTTGTAACCAGGAACAGAATTGAGGTCTTTGTTTTGCTGAGACAAGAAATTTTGGATCCTTTGAGGTGAGGGCAGCCTTGGGTCCCCCTGGTTTCCCCTTTTGTTTTCTGTTGGGTTCCTTAGTTGTAAAGAGCTTATGAGTGTTTTCATTTCTAGTGACTCCCCCCACACCCCGCGCCTGCTTCCTGTGGAATTAAAGAATCTGAACGTTCAAAAGGGATTTTCAGTTCAAAAAACCCTTTTAAATCTTTACTGGTGGTGACACCTTTGAGGAGGCGAAGTAGGCATGGCCCTCCATCCCAGGAAGGCGTGCACACCTACAGAGCTGTGGCCTGCGGACCGTGGGTCCTGGGGCACAATTGTGGGCTCCAGGTGAGGATTTCTGGTCTGGCTACTTTCTCTCCTTTGCTCCCATTTTGCAGGTGTGGCCCCGGGGCTCTGAGAAGTAGCAACTGGCCTAGGGTTGTCTCCTGTTCAGCTGTTTTTATCCTCTTGCCCTGCCTACTTTCCTGACTTCTATTTCCTCAGTCCAGAGCCAACCCCACAGGTAGAGGTGGGGAGGAGAGGAGATTGGCCTATCAGGGTGGGATAGGGTTGTCTAGGCAAAAGAACTCAGAGCCCGCCCCCAAACACACACCCAAATGCACTGGCGTGCATCTGACTCCTCCAGAGGACTTGTTAAACTACAGGGAGCCAGGGCCTGTCCAGAGGTTTCTGATTCAGTAGATCTGGGGTGGGGCCTGAGACTGTGCCTTCTTAGCAAATTCCCTGGTGAAGTCCCTGCTGCTGGTGTGGGGACTACTATGTATTGGGAACCATCATTCTCAACTGCAGGTGGGGAGCTTAGAAAGCCCAAGGAGGAACTGGTGCCCTTTCTGGCCTCTGAGGTTGACTGTGTGTGGGCTGGGCTGTCCCATGTCCCAGCTCAGCAGTAGCGCTCCTCTGGGAGCATGTGGGAGGTCTGCGGGGGCTGTCTTCGTTGCCGGTGTTTGGCGGTGCTGACGCCATTGCCTGGGAGGTGCCAAGGTGGCCCTTGCAATGAGGAAGAGCTCTCCCGTTCAAAGCCCCGTAGTCAGCGCCCTACTGAGAAACATCAAAACACACAACATAATTTTCCCCTCACATGCCCTGATTTTCCCATTGGCGTGCCTTTCCTCATAGGCTTTCTTGCCCCAAAATTGACCCACAAATGGGGTAAAACATAGGAAATCTAAACCTTTGTCCGATTGCTTTCAGTTTTTGCCTGATCAGGGTGCCATTTCTTCTGGGACACATCCTCTTTGAGTTCCCAGAACATCTCTCTCAAATAGCCATATTCTGACACCTGAGCCAAAGATATTTGTGTTCATCACTCCTGTGGAGAACAAATTCCAAACATCTTCCTTCGGTCAGCCCCGACTTTGTCCGTATGGTGATGTGTTTAATTCTGAGTCAGTCCTCTGTCACCCACTTATTACTGGCTTTGGTTGGACCTGCTGCCCCCCCCTTTTTTTTTTTTTTTGAAATGTGAAATTGAACCTCCTAAATACCTTATTACTTTATTTTCATACAGTCGTCCAGGCACATGGTAAATACAATACACAAGGGTTACACAGTGAAAAATAATCCCTTCCCACATCCAAGCAAGTCCCCCTCCCCTGAGGCAACCACCAGACTCCATTTAGAGCACTTTGTCTCGATCCAAGAATATTCTAGGCTTAGGCAAACAGGGTGACACACATATTACATCTTTTTTTGGAGGCAGGGGCATGTGTGTTGGTCCCTCAGTGGTGCTAGACATGTGTTTCTTTTTTTCATCTGATGCAAAAGCTTGGAGACTGTCAGACATCCATCCATGTCGAGGGGCCTCATTCCTCTTAAAGGCTGAAGAATAGTCCCCTGTGTGCCTGGAGTATATGATTAGATCAGTCCTCTATTTGTGGGCCTTTAAGTCGTTCCCAGTCTTAGGTAGAGCCCACAGTGCCGCACTGGGTCATCTTGTATGCGCTTCGCTCCTCTGTGACGGTGGTTATAAATGGTGTTTCTTAGAGGAGATTGTTGGGCCAAAGACTTTGCGAGAAAGGGAGAGTTTTGATGGTAGAGTTGGGTGGGGATTCCTGCGGGATTGAGGATGTTTTCCCCAGGGATTGAGGAAGTTTTCTCCGGGGAACGTGCACTTCCAAACTCACTAACTAGCTGTTGTGTGCCTCGGGGCCACCCCTTTGGGCCCTGAGGGCCTGGTGTGGATGTCAGTGGGTGGATCCCTGAACTCTGGGGTCTGTTCTCCCTCAAGGAGCTTGGGGTTGGCATTTAATTTCCTCTCAGGGTTGTGTCTCAGGGAGAGACGCTGAGCATAGGTTTGGGGTTTTCCTGAAGCCTGTTGGGTGAGACTGGAGAGCTCCATCGTGGGGGGCTGGATCTTGTCACGGCAGCTTGTTGCCTGGCTTTGCGAGCCTGCGTGCTGCAACATGCTCTGCCTTTGGGACCAGAGGAAACCATTAGGAGGCCTTGCATGTGGCCATATTGGACCCTTTTAATCTGCCCCCCCGTGGCTCCTGTCCAGACACGGAGGACGGTGACACACGGCGCTGCCTGCGTGCCGGGACTTGCCTGAGAGTTAAAACCGGAGGAGGAACGTCGGCAGGCTATCTTTGGGGATAATCATCTTTCCGGATTCCATGTTCCATCCCATCACCTGTACTGTCCGCGTAGCTCTTTCCTCCTCTGGTGCCTGTAGCTTTCATTTCTCAGCATGTCAGGCACGCCAGGCCGTGCCGGTCTATCATCCCTAAGCTAACAAGACAGCTGTCGGGCATGGAATGGATTCGGAGTCTTGCAGGTGAAGATTGGATGGTGGTGGAAATGTATGTGGGTTTAAATGAGATTCTGGGAGAATTAAAATAGAAAAGAGTGGATTGACAAAGGTGAGGTTGGCGTTTTACAGCTGAGAATCAGTGAGAATGTAATTTGTGTCGATTTCTTTGGAGGAGAGTTGCACACATAATGCCCACTGGTGTGGGCTGGGCCATGAGGACTTTCGGGCGGGTGGGTTATATCCCATTTTCAATCGGTTACATTTGTTTGTCTGATAAACATGAATAAATGTTGTCGTCTTCCATGAAGAAGCATGTTTGCCTTTGTCTCCTTAAACGTGTGGCCTTCCTGGTCTATCTTGCATGGTTTCCTGCTTCGCCGTCAGGACCGGATGTGGAGAAGAAATATTTCTTTGGGATAAGGATGACGCCGGTGCCTGTGTGACATCTCGTGGTAGCTGGGCCCTAGCCTTGTCAGCAGGCACAGCAGGGGAGGGCGGGGATTGTGGTGAAACACAGGGCCCCCATCACATAGAAATGGCCGTCCGGTCTTCAGATCCTTCTGCTGCCATTAGGCCCTGATCTGTTGTTTTTTTTTAAGGAGAAGCCAAAAATCCAGATTATTTTGTGAAGCCTCCCACGTTTTATATTTTGGCAGCAAACTAAAACTTTTACACAAATATGACACAGGCCAAAGAGAGGCTGCCTGACCTCTGAGATAGGTAACCCGAAGTGGGGGTGGGCGGGCGCATTGTAGGAGGAGGGTTTGGGGGACAGAACGTGGGGGGGCCCACACACCGCCTCCCTGCGGCGGGCCTAGGCCTCCCTGACTGCTTTAAAATGCGTGGTCCTGTGTGTCTCTTTCAGATCCTGGCTCCACAGAGAGAACAGCCCAGAAAAGAAAGTTCCCCAGCCCTCCGCATTCGTCCAATGGCCACTCGCCACAGGACACATCAACCAGCCCCATTAAAAAGAAAAAGAAACCTGGCTTACTGAACAGTAACAATAAGGAGCAGGTAAAGGGCCACCGGGAATGGTGTCCACACCCGAGGGACAAAGGTGTAGCGAGACGCACGGTTCTCCGGGTTTTCCTAAGAGCCGGTTCTGGGCCTTTAGCTAGCGTGCTGCCAGACTCCCCCTTGTCAAAGGACAAAAAAGGGCAGCTCATAATGGGCTTGTGTAGACATTTCCGGCCGGTTTTCAGATCAGTTCTGGGGACAGGGCGGTGACCCAGATGAGCTGAAGATACCAGTGCTGTAGGGCTTGGGGCTTTTCCTTGGGTGTGTTCCCCCCCGCCCCCCCACCCGTGTAGCTTCGGAGGATTTTTTCCCCCAGGGCCTGGCCAGCAGGACATCCTCCAGGACATCTCACCTCTGCCTGGAGGTGTTTGTGTGGCTGAGGCTGCTCCCTTCTGTCTCAGTTTTCTCATCTGTAAAATAATGGGTGTAGGCCTGTGGTGAGAGACAGCTGCTGTCTCCACCCATTGCTCCTGGTAATTAGTCACCATTCCTTCTCAGTGTTCATAGACCCCGCCCCCTGCAGCAGACCCCGCCCCCCGGGCAGCCAGGACCAATCAACTAGATAGGAACATCTGTTTGCCATCTTGGATCCTGCTGAAGAAAACTTCTAGCTTTAAAATTCTCTGATGCAGGCTAGGTATATTTCCAATTTAAAAAAAAAAAAAAGAGAACGGTGCTTTAGTGTGGACCATGAGGCCAAGTCTCCTGGCACCGGAGGAGACAGGATGACCTGTGGTTCTGGTACCACTTAAGCAGGGATTCCTCGATGTATTCTTGCATTTCGTGCTTTCCGGAGTGCCGAAGTGGGCTCTGGGGATTTGAGGTTGAATAAAACAAGATTATTGCTTTCACGGGAAGAGACCTAGTAGCGGTTAAATGCCCAGAACTGAGAGCGGGTATGTGTCCGCACACTAATCTATTTTCATTCTCAAATTGTATAGTGAAATGCCAGCTCTGCTTTTGCTCTGTGGCTGTGGCCAAGTTAACCTCTTTGTGCCTAGTGTTCCCATCCATTGAAATGAGGATAAGACTCCTACTACTGATTTTCTAGGTTGTTAAGATGAATCGAGCCAAATGACAACAACAATAATAATAATTAGGCCAGGCTCTACACTAAGTGGAAAAATCACACAAACTGCGTGAAATAATTCAACAGCAGCTCTAGAAATGTCCTTGACCTGTGTTGTTCGTTAAGATAGTCCCAAGCCTGGCGTGGCCCTGGAGCACTTGCAAATGGCAAATGCATTGAAGGAACTGAGTTTCTAATTTAAATTTAAGTGGCTGCCTGTAGCTACCGTGTTGGATACCTCAGGTCTAATCCTATTAGAGTAGAAGAAATTGGTGGGTCCAAAATAAATTTCTGGGGGGGGATTACAATTTCAAAAACATATAATAGTGTTGGTAATAATGAAACTAAAAACAGTGCTTACAGTGTGTTCTGTCCTGTTGTAAGCACTTTCCTGTGTTAATCTTTAATTTTTTTTACCGAGTTATAATTGACAGAGGACATACTTCTTTAAAAAAAGTTACTGATTTTTAGAGATAGAGGGAGACATGGATTTGTTGTTCCACTTATTGATGCACTCATTGGCTGATTCTTGTATGTGCCCGGACCGGGAATCAAATTGGCAACCTGGAAGTATTGGGATGACTAACCCGTTGAGTGAGCTGCCCATCCAGGACTGACGTATGACGTATTAGTCTCAGATTATTCCCCCTTGCCGCCATGTTCAGGTCTCTATGTTAAGGTTACCCCAGTGAGTAAGGGTTGTAATCATCTCCATTTTGCAGATGAAAACACAGAGGTTCAAAGAGGTTAAGTTGCCTCCTCGAGGCCTTGGAGCAGTCAGAAGCTGCTTTCGAGCTTAAGTCTGCCTGTCACGCAGGAGCTGCCCTACCTGTTGGGATTAAAGACTAAGAAAGAAACACAGAGGCCACAGATAATCCCCAGACCTTTTTAGCTGGTCATTAGCTTCCTGGGCAAACACTTTCTTACCAGCGTCCTGTGAGTCAACAAAGCCAATACTGTCCTCTCCTTGCGCCTCCTCCCTGTGTGTCCACGCGTGCGCACACACATTGTGAGTCCCTGCCTGTCCTTTAAGAATTGGGTTGCATCTCTTTCTGGAAGTTGGTCAACTTGGACTGTTCATGCATTAGCCTCTCCCTTCCCTGTCCATGTGTTAATACCATTTCTATAACGCTTAAACCTCATGACCACATCGAAGTGTTTGTCCCCCTCTTGGGCTGTCAGCTTCAGAAGAGTGGCCAGGGTCCTACGGTTGCTGTCTCCCCACAGTTTGACCCAGGGTGGGAGGCCGTGAATAAAGAACACGCTCAGGATGTGGAAAAGAGCAGAGCACAGGTGACTTAGACATGTGATTATGCTCTGAGTACCCGTCATCTTCAGTCTTGGTGGAGGAGCTCACAGGACGTGGTACTGGAGGGAAAGTGTGATGGATCTGGAGACAGGGAGGCTCCTTTGAGCCCCACTGCACCTGGGGAACTGGCTGTGTGACCTCGGCAGTTGTTTTCTGTCTCTGAGCTTCTTCCCTTACACTGCAGAATAAGGGTGTGGACTACGGACATTGTAAAGTTGAGTGTAGGGGCTGAATTGCCAGGAGTTGGCAAAGGAGAAGTAGCCTTCGCTGTAAGGAGAGGAAATGGCCGACCCTTCACTCTGACTTTGTAGCCCATAAAGTTTACGTAGGATGGGCACCCTCTCTCAGGCGTGATCTGCTTTCCTAAGTGGCACTTAAATCCTTCAGAAAACAAAAAACAAAAAACACCCTTCAGGACACTTTCCTTTTCCATCCCTTTTCCTGTCCTTTCTTTTAGAATTATGGAATTAAAACCAAATCATAGGTTGCACATGTGTTTGGCCAACATAATATAATTCCTGTTAGTCCACCAACATTTGAAGATTATGAGATTTCAGATAACTTACATTTCTGGGTTCTTATGAAATTCAGAGAATTCTAGCAACAGCTGGAGCTGAGTAGATCCTGCCCCTGTGGACGCAGGGGCTGTGTGCTCTGCTTTTCCGCACTTCCCACCCCTCCCTACTGTGCTATACCCTGCCTGCTTCACTCATTCCGTCTGCCTCTGGCTTTGTTAGGTGTTTGAGTTCTTTTGATTTTTGACACTCAAGGTCTGTCCAGAAGGTACCCAGCCTTATACTATGGAAAAGTGACATTTATTGAAGAAGATAGTAGAAACATTGTACATAGGACAATGATGCCTCAGGCCCCTTCAAAGTAGGCACCTTGGTACCTCACACAGCTCTCCCAATCACCATCAGCTGCTCCATTGTCTTTTCCTAAATCTCATTGAAGGTCTGACGTCTCTTCCCTTTCAAAGGTGACTTTAGTTTTGGGAAAAGCCAGAAGTCACAGGGCACTAAATCTGGACTGTCACGGGGCTGAGTCACCTGGGTGATTTGATGTTTCACTGAAAAACTGCACAAGACATGATGCATGAGCGGGTGCGTTGTCATGATCAAGCTGCCAGTCACCAGTTGCCCACAGCTGCAGCCTTCTTGAGTCATGTGAATAGTTTCCATGGAGGAATGTTTAAGCTTGATGCAAAGTGTGATGCAGATTCGTGGCTCTACTCATTCAGTCGTTTTGAATGCGATGGCCACACAGTACACATGCTCACTCAACAGTGCCTGCCACCCCCCACTGACTAGTACAGTGAAGTCATTATTGTTCTTGCATGTTCGTTCTAGTCTATTCTCCTTGACTGCCAGGTTACATTGATGTCACACAAACCATTCTCATTATATCAACAATGGCTGGAATTTTTCCAGACCTCATATATCAAGGTTCGCTACCTCCTTCCCTTTTTCCTTCACTCTATACTCTTCCGTATTCTAGTGTTCTAAAAAGAAAGCCATTCTGGCCTGATTTTTAAAAATCCTGAATTTTTCCATTTTTGGTAATGACCTTTTATTACCAAGTGCAGATATGGGTTGAGTTTTCAGGTTGGGACCCTGTTTTCACCCATTTTTCACATATCGGGGATTCAAAACTTTTAGGGGAGTTTGAAGAAGAGCTTTAAAACATACTTTATTTTTAGGGGAGAAATATTCTAAGGTTTATAAATTAGTTTTTAATGCCTTTTGGTCAGTGGTTGCACCCTTAGGAAATGTTTGAAAACATGTAGGTGCTTTTTCTTGGGACTACTTGGGGGAATATCCCAAAACCTGGAAGGATGGTCCTGGCTTTTTTTTTTTAATCCTCACCTGAGGACATATTTCTATTGCTTTTAGAGAGAGAGGAAGAGAGAGAGGGAGCAAGATAAGAGATACAGAGAAGCATTGATTGGCTGTTTCCTGTACGTGCCCAGACCGGAGATTATAGGCACCAGGACTGGGGAGTGAACCTGTAGCCCAGGCATGTGCCCTGACCGGGAATCGAACCCACGACCTTTCAGTTATGGGAAGACGCTGCAACCAACTGAGGCGCACCAGTCAGGGTACTCCTGGCATTTTGTGGAGGAGGGTCAGGTTGCCAAACACCCTGCAGTAGATTCGAGACAAGAAATATGTTGTCTCCAAATGACATTAGGGCCTTGAGTGCAAAATACTGCTCTTATCTTTAGTTCTTGGGTCATTTGAGTTTGATGACTGCTTTTGGAAGCTCTTCTTCCTTTCTCCCTCCTCCCTTCCCGTCCTCCCTCCCTCCCTCCCTCATCAAAGTATTGAGAAATAATTGCTAACATAACATTTACAAAATGGCCTTAGGTATACTTTGATCAAATACGGCAGAGAAACCACGGGGCCCCTCCTCATCTCTGGGTACAGGGTGTACACATATCCTAACTGGGCGGGCTAGGACTTTGTTGTTGGATCCATGCATTGTCTTAAGGACTCCTTTGTTGGGCAGGCCGGTGCACTGGCAGTTGAGCCAGCTCAGGGAACTGCGCGATTGCTGGCATTGTCCTGGATCAGGCAGCACCATGGCGGCTGCCTGCCTTGCCGCCGTGGCCAGTGGGGC